TTTAAATAGAGCATAAAATAAGAAAGAGCCAAATTTTTAGCTAATCGCACTAAAAAGAAAGTAAAAACGAAGAAACAGCCAAAGAGTCAGTAAACAAAACTTCAAAAATAAATAATTCAAAAGAAGAAAAACATTTATAAAAAAGGTTTCAATTGAAAATAATTTGAAAACCTTCCATAGAAAGTCACTATACCTATGTGAGTAAATATTTTTCGTTATTTATAATTTTATTTATTCTCTATTTTAACAATCCCTAATTCCATCTCTATTTTAGGGACTATCATTTTAACTTAATATAACCTAAATAATATTAATATATTATATGATAGTGTAAATGTTAAGTTTTAAGTTGCACATTGTGTCATTGTCATTATTATTATTATTCTTAAGTTTTAAATTGAACATTGTGCCATAGCCATTATTATTATATAAAATATATATCATGTGTTTTGTTTATAGTATGGATTCCGTTTTAGAGAATTCTACATTCTTCTACCGTGAGTCGTTGTAATTAGTGGTATTAAATAAAGATCAAGATATATACGAGTGTTTAATTTCAAGGGTATGTATTAAGTCAACGGGTTCAAGCCCTCGTTGACCAATTCGTAAAACTTAAATTAATAAATAAAAATAAATATACAGGTTTTAGGTATCTATTAGACTTCAGAATCGAGAAATATGAATTAAAAATTGTGTTACAGAATATAGATTTTTTTTGGATCTTTGTGGTGCATTCTTCATAAAGACTTGCATTTTATTAGATCCAGAAAATTTACATGAAAAAATTGTATTTAACATTAAAGGTCAAATCTAGAACATTTTAGAATCTAGAACGATATATAATTTATCGTTATCAACAACTTATACTTACGTCTATATCAAATTAAATATTAACCAAATTAAATATTTAATTTAGTTCACAGTATGGAGAAGTAATTGTACTTTTGTTTTGGGAAGTAATATATCGCGAATAAAGCATTCTATAGAAACATAATTCTTCTTAGTGTCTGTTTCACCTAGTGGGGCATAGGACCGCAACTATTCTTTTGTAATTTCTCTGTCATTGAGCTTTTGTCATTTCTCTTTCAATTGTCCTTCTCCAACTTATGGTAAAGTCGATGCACCAGGGCTTCTCTGTCTGGTACAACGCCAGACTAATGACGACGTCATCAGTTTCTAAATAGAAAAGTTTAGGGATCGCGTAATGCACAGAATTAACGATCTGAATAAATAGTCAAGATCATATACTTAACTCAAATTGACTTTTTACCGTTAATGTGTGTTAAATCATCCGTTATTTATTAGAAACATTTTCAAAAGTTGATGTTCTTTCTTTTCTTCTTTTTAAAGTCATACAAAGACGATTACTAACATGGAACTACTTTTAAATAATAGTACTATTATAAAAGGCTAGAAAGCACTTCACTATTCCAAATAGATCCATTGTGCATATTTTGAAATGAAATGCTTAAATGCAGTATCTAGAATAAAATTTTTTTTTTATTGATATCTAATACGGTTTTGTTATTATTTCAAATCAGATATATATAACTATCATTGGTGACGTATTTATTTATTTTATTAATAAAATATTAAAATATTATGTTATTTCAAATAAATAGTAACAGTTTTAAAAATATTTAAGAAAATATTTTGATATGATTGTAATTGAAATATATAACCTCTTATATATCAATATTATACAAAATAAAATATTTATACATACGTGCCATACATTTTAAATTAAATTAATTACGATTACATACTTAGGCAAAGCAAATATGTGCATTCTCTATATTAATTTACATAATTAGCAGTACATTTGCAAATTATTATTTCACAATTTAATTGTTTTAAATTCTATTTAATTTGAATATGTATCTCTACATTTAATTTGTGAAATCATTTTATTTTATTTTTATTGCTTAGATTTGCAAATATTCACTGCTAATCTATTGCAATTTCATCAGTTCGAAGTTATTAATTATAATGAATTGAATTAAAGGATTACAAATATTTGATTTTATTTACTAGAAATAAAATAAATAAAAAATATTTTTATAATTTTTTTACTCTTTTAACTCTAAAACTTAGTTTAATTTATGACTGGACCAAATTATTGGAGTGAAATTATTTTCATCATCAAGACACAAGAAAAAAATCGGAAGTTGAAGTTTTAACTGACTTAAGTGGGCGTTTATGTTGCATCATAAAATGTACCAAAAGTATGAGAAAGAGATGTAAGTAATGCTATCATAACCAAGTACCTAAATAAATAAAAAGTTCAGAAACTTTTGTCTCCCACCCAAGTAGGAGAAAACATAAATAAGCATTATTTTTGGTCAAATATTGTTATGACATCTTAAGCCACCAACATTAATGGTCATTTTTTGTGCTCTAGAATTTTGCCTTTGGTGGCATTTGTATTTCCTCATTTTCATTCTTCTACTTAAGCTCTTTATAAAATGCCGTAGGATATTATCATAAAAATGAAATAAAATAATTTTTGCGAATTTTTTTTCCAGAGCTTTGACTTAAGTACTCTGATTTTTTTATGTAGTCAGGAAATATTTATTTTAGTTTTGGTCTTTATTAATAAGTGTACAAAAAGATACATACAATTTTATTAAGTACACAGTTAAGTATACATTATGTAAAAGAAGGAAATAATATATATTTTTATAGACTTAGAGTTTAGTGGTTAGGTAGACCAAAATTTGATACAGAATCGAAGAAATCAATAAAGAAACTTTCATTAAAGTAGAATTGTATTCAAAAAATATTTCGATTTTAGGTTAGAAATATCCATCAAAGACTTTCTCAGAGTCTATCTAATGCAATGTAAAACAAAATTCAATAAAAATACTATTAACTGTAAGACATTAGGTCTGTTCCACGAGCTACTCGTAGTAAAACTCAAAAAAAAAACACAAGTCAACTACAAACTGAAAGCGTAAATCAAAACAGCTGATTCACACATCAACACAAATTTTACCTTAAATAAAATGTACGAGTAAAGTCTGTGTAACATTTTTAAATTTCGACAGGGATGTTACGCTCTCTCAGATGCTCTTATTTACTCGAAAATTTGATGGTGGAACGCACTTATGTATACACAGTCTTACTCGAAGTTACTACGAGTAGCTTGTGAAACATTTATACTTTATGTCATATGCTGCTAGCTTGACTTTAACGTAGCTACTACAATTTGTGACATCACCAAAATCTTTCGCATATAGTCGGGAACTATTGAGTAACACAATATAAAAACGGATAGATTTACGTGAGCGTAGGCAAGAAAATTCAATCACAAAGAGAGTGATTAAACTTATTATTACAGTACAGCCCATAGGTTTTAAGTTTCTTAAAAAAAAATAAAAACTTAGGTAATAAATGCTTTATTTTTCTGCTATATATATTCATTTGATTTAACAAATGAGCTCACTATTACTCACAATTAACACGCCAAATTCGCGTCAAAATTGTGTAAGGAACAGAAATATCTATTATTTCGTCAATTCAACAAAATTCGTAAATATCCGCATAAAAAAATACTTCTTAAATTAAGACTCAAAGAAATTTTAAAATAATAATAACTGAATAACACAAAGGGTGAACATATATTAGAACTGACTCGACCCTCTACCATATGACCGTTTACCAAATGTTGCCCAAAAACAACCTCTCAGATTTTATATTCTCTTTATACATTATAAAATATTAACTGAGAACTTATATATATATATATATATATATATAAATAATCATTCATTTCTGTCATTACTAGAAAAAAATCTTGTGAAACTTAAAGTCCTTTGAAATTTATATTATTTGCATTGATTTAAATGTCAAAATTTTTTCTGTTATTCGATGAATAATTTCATACTAATATTTCTTACAAATCTTCATATTGTGTATAGCATTCAGTCAGATTATCATTTATAAAGTAAAAAAAAATAGTGTTTTTTTTGCAATATATAAAAATTATTTAGTGCTTTTGCATCGCAAAAAGTAAAAAAGAAAAACTATTAATATTTTTTTCTATTTCTATAGAATTACTCAAGATTAAAGTGATCTGTAGCTGACATTAGAATTATTACTAGACGGTAAGTAAATCTATATAAAACGTCTTAATCATGACTATAGCCACGTGAAGCACATTGTCTTGTATCCAACATTTTCTTCCTTAAAAGTCTGATCAAAGTAATAATTTATCACAATGAGAAAATCCTTGGCATAACGCCCACTTAAATATACATTCTTTGTACTTCCCAACATGTATTTTTATAATACGATGAACTTCCTTCCGTATCCTTCCTATTTTATCACAATGAGGATTCCTTGGCATAATGACCACTTAAATATAATTTTTCTCTACTTCCCTATGTGTATTTTTATAATACCTTGACCTATCGAAGTTTATGATATAAAGATAGGACATATTTAACTGTATTAACTTATGTATGGAAATAACAATTGTTGCTTGTGATTTCTCTGATTCGCTTCCTAATAACCTATCTCGTCTTAAAAATGGCGTACAGTTTCTATATGTCGACAATTTCTATATGTTTGTGTAAAACTCTTGTGGTTTAGGTATAGTAGTTATGTACCGCTAGAGGGCGGTGTTTGAGAATTTCTGGTCAGCATTGTTTGTTTGGAGAAAAACTATGCCTTGGCAGCACTGTTCTGTCAAAATAAGAAAAACGTGGAGACAACAGCGAAGTCGTTAGTAAAAAAGAAAACACGTGTGTTAAACCAATATTAAAGTGGAAGTCAATTTACTAGCACATTAAGCGGGTATTACACATCATACTTTGTGCGACAACTTAGTGCGACATCGATTGCTATTACACATTAAGCACTGCTGATATTATTTTCAACACTTGACTTAAATCAGAATAAAAATAATATTGTTTGCATTTAACTAAATGTCAAAAATTTTTCTGTTCGATATTCTATAATTCATTTTTTTAAAATTTGTGTTATAGATCTACGTGGTGTGAATAATATTAAGTGAGACTATTAATTGAAATAATAATAAGAAAAAAAATAAAATAAGAAAAATCTTAGGTGTTTGTCTGCTAATAATCCTATTATTTACTTATTTACAATTTCTTTATATAAAAGAAATAGCATCACAACAGATTAAAGTCTACTGTACAATTATCGGAATTTTGCGAATCGGTAAGTAAATCTGTTGAATAAGTCTTAAGTAAGAGTGTAACTGCACGAGGCATATTGTGTGGCACTGTACTTTCCTTTCTCCAGAAATTTTGTTCACGGTAATATTTTTATAATTTAATATATGCAGCATTTTGAAATCATTCTCATTCATTCCTTATAATTATCTGCCGCAGTTCATAATACAATACTAAATTCTCAATGGAACTTTATTAACTAGTATATGAAAATAACCTCAGCATTTGTTTAATATTATTTGTCGAAATAGAGAGGCTTCGAAAAGTAGTAAACTACAACAACAAAAGTTCTTTGTCAGATTCTTTGTTAATTTGTCAAAATTGTTTACGAAAATTGTTCTTTATAATCCCCCTGACTCACTTTCTGACTATGCACCTCATCTTAAAATTAGCATACAGTTTCTATATTTCCAATTTAAGGGTCTATTACTAATCCCCCTGACTCACTTTCTGACTATGCACCTCATCTTAAAATTAGCATACAGTTTCTATATTTCCAATTTAAGGGTCTATTACTCTGTTTCATGCCATGTGTGCGCAAATGACATAAAGCTATTAACTGAATGATTACCTAAATGATTATTATATTGACTAAAATCACAATAAAAATAATATGATTTGCATTTCATTTAATGTCAAAAATTTTTTTTTTCAATAATTAATAATTCATTTCATTATATCTAATGATAGAATTCTTTTCCTTGTGATTAGTATACAGAATATTCATTGTGAAATCAAAATAAATAATTTGCTTGTTTGCTGTAAGATAAACTTATTTAGTGTTTTTATAATATAAAAAAAAACTTTATCAATATATTTTTTCAATTTTTGTAGGATCACACGAGATTTAAGTGCGCTATACGGATAAAACATTTGTCAGAATTCCTACTAATTGGTAAGTTAATCTATTGAACAGATATTAAACAAAAGCATAGCCACGCGGTGCGTATTGTGTGGACCGATCCACCCCTTTCCTCTAAAATTTTATTCAAAGTATTATTCTATAATCTTTATATGCAGCATTTGAAAATCATTATCATTCCAGATAATACTCGTAATAAGTTCTTAATGGAACTTTATTAACTCGCATATGTTCTTTCAGGGTTTATTATACATTACATGTTAAAATAGTTTAAGAATATTTAACTATGTGATCCACTGATTCGCTTGTTGACTACCTCCTGATATCAGTAATATAGTACAGTTTCCTTATTTTCATTATTTTCGAAATTACGACTTCTTTTAATCTGCTTTATAGCGTTCTGCATAAATTAGTCACTTAACGCACCTCAAGTTAATTTATCAAATGGATGATTACCACAACCTTTGGTTCTATTATCATTGACTTATATCACAACATAAAAATATCATTTGCATTTATTTAAACGTCAAATTTTTTTTTTTTGTTAAATGTTCTATAAATTATTTCTATTTATTTTCTCTGTCAGAAATTTCATATTGTGAATAATATTTAGTAAGACTATTAATTGTGAAATTAATACTTGTGTTTTTTTTTCTGTTTATTGAACTTATTTATAGTTTTTGTGATATAAATAAAATCTACATCGATACATTTCTCTATTTCCATAAAGTGACCAGTACTACAATTATCGGAATTTTTACTATTGGGTAAGTATATCTGTTGAACACGTCTTAAATATGAGTATAGTCACGTGAGGTGTGTGTATCTATTGTGTGGTATTGTGTCGTCTCCACTCATTTCCTCTAGAACTCGGATAGGTTATTTTATAACAATAAAAAAAAAACCCATGCGACTATATCCATCTAAACAACAATTTTATTATTCTATATTATAGAATTTCATTTACTATTCCATGGAAATAACAATTTTTCTGCATCTTTCAGTTAAATCTTTCAGCTTGTTAAACCGTCACCAGGTTTTGGACTACACTCCTGTTCTGAAGATTAGTCAACAGTTTCCTTATTTACAACTTGTAGCTTCTGTTGCACTGCTTTACAACCAGATACGTGCGTTCATCATATAAAGCGTTTCAGGTTAGTATATTAAATAAGTAATAATAATAATAGGTAAAGCATAGTGAAGGGCAGAAATAAGCCCCCCAGTCACAAAAGAGTAAAAATGCGCAATAGCACTAACTCAAATCACAACGACAACAAGTAATAAATTGACATATATCACAAACAATTTAATATCATTCGCATCATTATCATTCATATCATTTAATGAAATGGTCATTTTTTTTTTTGGTCATTAAATTTTATTTCTAATATTAAAAACCTATAATTTTTTTTCATTTCCTTAGGACTGAGAATTTTAAGGACTGCTGCGCTACTAAGTGCTCTTCTACTCGTGATTGTACCATATCAGTCATTCCAGGTTGGTATATTTTAAGAGTGATTAATATAGTTATTTTTGGCCTTGATAATTTTTAGTGTTTTTATATATATTTTATTATTTACTATTTGATATTAGCTGTTTTCCAGTGTTTATGCGGAATTTACAATGTTTAAGTTTATTCGGAACCAACTTAGATATTTATAAAACTTTAACTTTGTTGATTCCATATGTCCTTGTGGCAAGCACTATATGCAAAATTGCTGTCTAAATTTTATTTGCTTGAAAGCTCATTTCTTTTATAATTATATATTTAAAGGTATGATAAAACACATGTCAGTTAAAATTAAAGTATGTATTTTCTTTAGATATCTGCTGCAGATGCAGAACATTATTTAAAATAATATATTAATAAATTATTTATAATACAAAAGTCATTTTTTTATATTACAGATTACGCATAAAGCCATGGCATCTAAAACGTAAGTTGTTTTTACTTAATATAAATATATCTGTTATTTCTATGATACAAGGTGTGTTCCACACAATAGTTCTCGAATTAGTCATTAAGCTATGTTAGAACTATTTTTCTTTCATTAACTTATATATTATATTATATATTTATAGATACGAAATCAACGAAAACTTGGAAAAGGTAAGTTTTATTATTTTGTATTCAGCACTACATAATCTTCTTTTATGTATAATTCTTATAAAAGATTCATTTTTTTTTTCATTTTGCAAATGCATTTCATTCTGTACTGATCAGTATTTTAATTATATTCATATTCATATTTCCTATCCCTATCCTATTCATGTTTTTTACAGATCGTTAAGGATTGTCCATTAATCCCAGATATGCTTTATGTGCAGTGTCCTTATGATCGCACACATCTAATCTTGCGCAAACGGTTCCAAACTCACCTTTTAAGGTGCAGTGCAAATTATAAAAATATGTCAAAAGTTAAATGTCCGTTTAATGTCACTCACATTATTAATAAGCCTGAGTTGGAGGTAAGTTAATATTATAATTAATGCAAATGTCGCATTATCAACAAAAGATTATTTTTATATTCTAAGTGGCATCTACAGACTTGCAAGGACCGTCGCAAGTATGAAGAAATGAAGCATTCAACAAGTCAAAAGTTCAATACTATAGCACCACAGTTTATCCCAATTGACACAGAAACTTCATGGGACGACGAACCTGTAGTGAAAGCATACAACCCTCAGAACTACATAATGAAAGCACCCATATATCGATATTTACAAGGTGCGACTCCAACTCTTAAAAACGAGTTTCGCATAAAGGAAATAAAACGAATGAGAACTCTTAAAGCAGAATTAGGTCTGTCAGAACCGATAAAAACTAGTTTCACGACTTCTGATTCACAATAAGACGTTTCTCATTCTTGTACATATTTTTTTTTTCTAGTTTACTTTAATATTAATATAGTTTTAACATTTTTATGTATTACATTCAATATGAAATGTAATGAACATAACTTAATATTGTACATACATTATAAAAAGAATTGTTCAGTTCTATAAGTAAGGATTTTAATTTCGTCAGTCAATGAGGGTTGTTGCTTTCACCAAGAGGTTTTACTAACAGCGAAATATACATGCTTTTTGGTAATGCTTTTAATATAAATTTAAAATTGAACTACTTTACTTTACTTGAAATTCAATTTTACAGTATGTCTTTTGAAAACAAAATTTGCAGAATACAATTAACAAAGAAATCATACGAGGTCTGCATAATGTCAATACAAGAACAATTGCTTAGTTTATCGATCAAAGTCTTCAATCCTGTTCTGTGGCAAAAGCTGGAGATTTACGAACTTTGTCAGTTGAAAACAATAATCACTTGTTGAGATATTTCATTGCAAATGTTTATAGGATTGAAGTGGACCACGAATGTCTGTCTTTAAAAGTGTAGGATTCCACAAAACTTTAGAACAACCTCACCTCACACACAAAGACTAGATGTGGATGTAAAAACAAGTGCTTTGCTCATTGACCAATGTCTACAATTCTGTTCTGTGGCGAAAGCTGGAGATTTACAAACATTATCGCTTGAAAACAATTATGACTTGTTGAGATATTTTATTGTCTATAGGTCTACATTTCTGTTCTGTGGCGAAACCTGGAGATTTACGAACATAATCGCTTGAAAGCAATTATGACTTGTTGAGTTATTTTATTGTCAATGTTTATAGCATTGCGCTTGACCACAAATGCTGCCTTGAATATAGGAACAACTGCTTAGCTTATCGACCTAGGTCTACAATTCTGTTCTGTGGCGAAAGCTGGAGATTTACGAACATTAACGGTTAAAAGCAATTATGACTTGTTGAGATATTTTATTGTAAACGCCTTGAATAGTGCTGAATTCCACAAAACTTTAGAACAACCTCACCTCACACACAAAGACTAGATGTGGATGTAAAAACAACTGCTTTGCTCATCCACCAATGTTTACAATCTTGTTCTGTGGCGTAAGCTGGAGATTTAACTTTAGAACAACCTTACCTATGGTGCGTATAGGTAAGTATCCATGCCAATGCTGATAATACATAAATATCGAAAAATTTAAAGTATCATAATATTTTCTTTTTTAAGGTTTAAGCTATTACAAAGGTGCTACGACCTTGATGTGATTATTTGGATCGTTGTTTTGCTGTATCGCTGAAGTCTTTTCTAATTTATACGAAATGTTTCTTTTATGCAAAATATTTGACTGCATTTCTAGAACATTCTTTTAACCACATATAATTTTACCCACAAAGGAGTATGTACACTTAATGCTAATTAATTTGTTTTACAAATTAACTTAATAAAATTTTTTTTCTTTAGTACTTTTTGTTTTTAATTCTTTTTCACTTATTACAATAAATACTTATAATATAAATTTCAAAATTTTTCTAATTAAGATTATAGCCAATAAAAATTTGTCAAACTCATAAAATTTTTGCTATTAACGACTAGACAGCAAATCTGCACACCGTTGCACATTTAAAACTTCCTTACTAATTACAGGAAACTTGACAAACTTTGTCATGACAAACTCCACTTGGACACAAAACCAAAAGTTTTAGACTTTCCTACTATCAGCAACAATAGTAGGAATAGTAGGAATAGTAGGTGTGACCTGCTTAAAACTTGCGGCAAAAGTTGATAACATTGTCTACTTTAACGAGCAACTTGAGTTGTGACTAAATTTGCATAATTAAGTAAAATATGCTAGGTTTTATCCTGCTTTTTTGGCACTAAAATTACAAAAAAAAAAAAAAACTAAATCATAAAGTAAAGTATTCAAAGGAAAATGATATTTTAATGTAAATTTTTAGTTTTATACGCCGTAATGCAGACGAATTGAAGTGCTTTGTGTTGCGAGTATAAAATAATTTAAAAATGCAAACGCAGGAGAAGTTGTCAAACTTTTAATCAATGAAGTAGAAAAAATTGCAAGGATATCATCCGACACAAAGTAATGAGGTTTCTTTGTGAAGCAACAGCAGATTTTTACTTTTTATGCATTTTTAGGTTGTCATGGCTTTGCTTGCTGCAACAAGAATAATGATGTTCCATTATATTTGCTACAACAGCATCGTAAAATTTTCAATTTGCAACTTCTTCGTGTAACAATGCAATATTCTTAGACACGAATATTTCAGATACGATAGAAGCACGTAAAATATAACCAATGCAAGACATAACCAAGGTGAAAATCAATACTCCAACCATCCCACTTCAAGTTTAATGATGGGAATCCATAAAGTATAAATAAAGAATTTCTTAAGAAAAAATATAAATTAAAAGGATTAAAATCATTCTCTACGCATGTTATTATTGAAAAGAATAAGGAAGATTTATGCCTTAAGGGCTTTGGGGTAAGATTCGATACATTTTTTTGAAGTTCGCATACATGAGTGCTAAAACATATTTATATTATTATATATTAAAGTATATAAAGTAGGTTCTTTACTACTTTTAATTGACGCAACAGGGCTTAGAGATCTACTCTAAGAGGGCACAATAGACCCGATGGTCGCATTGTCACATTCGCTAACAATAATAATAATTATATATTAAAACAGCATCGAAAATATCATAAGAAAATATATCACGATTATACCAGACAAAATGGGATCGAATGAGAACAGTATCAATATCACTACCGATGACATTATTTGTTACACAGAAGGCTCCAAAATTGGATTTGGGTTTGGGAATCTTACTTACTTGCTGTTGTCCTCTTCTCCTCGTTCCAATATGAACTGAAACAGTTCCTTGCTTTCTACGGCTGCACAGGTCTTCATTTCTTATTCTTGCAGATCAACTTATACCAAGTATTCTGCGCAAGCACTTCTTCAAGCACTTGTCTGTATTTTTGACGTAATGCGGTTTAAACCTTTCCATGTTTTACAGCCATAGAAGAGCACAGATTTTATATTTGATTCGAAGATGCGGAGTTTATTAGTTTTACAAGATGTTTCTCAGGAGAAGACAGAGTTTGCTTTGTTGACGAGCATAGCTACATTCTCATCAACGCCACTTCTAGCTGTCAGTACACTTCCCAGATAGACAAAGTAAGCATCGAACATTGTATGAAGCAGTAGCCAGTAGTTGTTTTCTGTTTGAGAAACTGACCCAGAAAATGCACAAGTCGAGAAACAGTGGCTTGAGTATTCAAAACTGAAATGTATCGCATAAATATTTGAAGTCATATCCACTATCAACTTAAGATATTAGAGACAACAAGAGACAATCATTATATCAAATTAACCATAACACCTTTAGGCTCTACCTGGACAAAACTGTCAAAGAAGAGCCGCGCCTTGGAAGAAAATAGCGTATTGACTATTTTGAAAATGATTTAAATAAGTCAAGTGATTTTTCACTAAATACCTGCTCACTGTGACTTCGTTGCAACAAAAAGGGTGGAGAAATTGATTAAGAAAGCTGCCTCAAAGCAACCATAAGTCAACCATAGTCAAGTTGACTGGCAGGAAAAATCAATCCAAAGCTAAATTACATTAAAGTATGCAAGCGGACCCAACTATAAATGGTCTAACGAGAGAAAAAATCCCGTTTCTTTCCAAAATACTTCGATAAGTACTATATACCAACTAAATCTTAACGGATCGGATTTAAAAAAAATGATTGTATTGATATCTAATTATTGGTATTTAAACAAGCATTAAGTCTATCAAAAACCGACGAATGCATATTACACATATATGGATCGGATGATACAGAAACAGTCCTTCATATCCCTGAGCTGAACCCTTATAATGCCAATTTGTCAGCATACAACAGTATTTAGCTTAGAATCACCTTACAACACTTTTTCAAAAAACATGATAATGTACGTTGAAAGTCGAAATATATAACATTGTCTCTCAACTATGAGTGCAGTTAAATCTAATCAAACAGAAGTAGCTCAGCTTTCGAATGGAAACTAAAACAACCCGCGTTGTACAGTTCCTAATAACAGACGTAGCTAGAAACTCTTGACCGAGTATCTTCCTCAGAGCAAAGCCGTACATTCACAAAGAGTTTGACTAATAGTGTCAACTTCTACCATGCAAAAAAGATATCTCCTTCCACAGGCCTATCTTATTTCAACCTTACAAAGTATAATTCATAAATTTTCGGGGATATTTATTTCATTTTGTTATTCTTTGTATACCTTTTATATATTGTTTAGAGTTAGGTTTAAGATTTCAACATCTCCAATATCTTCAATATCTGTAAAGCCAGAATCTGTACATAACTTGAAATATAATTGAGAAATTTTAACTTATTCTAAAATAGTGTGCTGTTTATAATTATATACCATAGACGAGCTTAGCTTTAACGGTTTTACAATATATTAAATACAAAATATAAATTAACTCATAAGAATAAATATTGTTCGACTTGCTTCGTCGATGTCTTCCTTTCTACTACTACTTTCTTAAAAGTATATATCCCTGAACGTGACCTTCCTCCTTTATTCTACTTTCCCACTCATTTTAATCACATAGATATAGATATATAGATTATAGATACCCGTTTTATGAATAATATTTGTACGAAAACACCAAATGGATGAAGCAAACCTAGCTTCAAAAGTGGACAATTATTACATCTTCTGAACCAGTAAATATATTTATAATTATTTTCACTTACTATAATTTATCTTCTATATATTTAACAATTATTGCAGTAATAATATATTTCTGAATATAAAAAATATAAATCACTTATTACTTTGTTCATCTCATAAATGTGAAGTTAATTTCGTAAGCAATAATTTATGGTTCAAAAAATCCGGGTCAACAAAAAAATGAAATATAAATTTCAAGTTTTACAGAAATATTAAAAATTATATTCCAGAATTATTAAATAAACTGCAATAAGAAAAAAATTATTTTCCTGCTGCTTTTAAAGCCCCTACTTAATGTATGAAAATTCTTCTTTATTTCTTGTAAGAATTTTTAATGTCTCAAGAATAAAATTTTTCCTTTCATTCTCATTGTAGTTTTTTTATTGTTATTGTTGTCATTTGTTGTTGTAAATTTTTTTCATTAAATGCAAACTACAGAGAAAGTGAGTAGGCATTACAATAAGTAAGAGTGTTTATTTATTTATTTATTATTTTTTAACAGGATACATGCCTTTTCCATTTTAATGCTCAGAAATTTAATCAAAAGATTTTTTATTCATTTCGTTTGAGCTTGGAAATTTATGCTAACAACAAATCCTTGGAGATTTTATTAAAAACAGTGTCAGCAAAGAAAATTATAAAAGGTATATTTGTATAGTAAATATGTAGACACTTACTTCCATTATGAGAAAGAAGTAGTTAGGGAAAAACTAAAATGGATCGCTACCTACTATAAAATTTTTGAATTGTCCATTAAGTTTTCGAAATAAAATTAAAATTGAAAAAATTATTCTCTTCAGAGTTATCAAGTGTCATTGGACATGAATAAACCTCAATGATCAGGATACTACTTCAGTGATAATATGTCTGCCACTTTCCAATAGACAGAACTTTAACCTGCCGACCACTTGAGTTTACTTTTGTATGATATTTAGTTTATGTTTATATAACATAAATATTTTAGGGTTTTATATTTGCGTATTACCTATCTTTATACACCTAATCGCGTCTAATACTAGCAAACAACTTATATAATAAACTTATATTATATATAGTACAAAGATAAACGAACTGTTTCATTCGAACGATCTGAAAGATCTGATCATGCCAATGGGATTATGCAAAATGTTATGGTTATCTTTTTGTACTGAGCAATTTAATTCAAGGTAGAAAAATTTAACGATATACAGAGACTTCTGTATGCAAGTTGAGATGTTCTGTAAAAGTATCAGTCTCTACCGATAAAACCTTATCTAACTTAACTTATATTAGATTGGGTTGTATAGCTGTCGAGTGTGGTCTATACCCTCATGCTATTTACGTTCCTATTTTTATACTGTTCATGGTAGGACTACATTTCTTTTTCTCAGAAAACCCTCATGATTCTTT